GGGGAAGGTGTCCCTTCTCAGGGAGTGGGGCTGCATGAGCTTTAAGGTCCCTTGCAACCCGAACCACTGCAGGATTCCATCACCATTCCACCATTTCTCCCTGCATTTGTTGTGCATCGCTTCCTCTCTTATTCAAATTCTCCAGTTTGGTCGGTCTCTTAAAGGAATAATTTTAAGGTTATTCCGGGAATAAAAAGGGGAGTGGAAAACACACACGAATCATTCCTGCACCCATCAAATCCTTAGTCATTGGGAGCACATGCCCTCATCTCTGTCCTTGTTTTTTTTTTTCTCCTGGGAAACCTTATGGTCATAGATTTTTCCAAGAGAGACCTGGGATTACCACGTTTGCTCTGTAAGAGGCAGGAGAGGTTCAGAATACCTGTTCCTCTGCATTTTGCCAGTGGGATTTTCCCACTTTTCAGAGATCATTTTTGTAGCTGCCCAAGGAAATTTCTGGAGCTGACCCACGACTGAGTACAGAGTGCAGCACAAAGGAACAACCAATCTCCCTCCAAAATATTTCCTGCCCTCTACAGACAGCCTCAAGACTTATGTCCAATATTTTCCCCACCTGTCCACTACTGATTCCCTCATTTTAAGCCCAAAATGTTCATTCTGTCCCCTACATACTAACACAGATATGACCCCAGAGTGTCCATTCTGTCCCCTGTAGGTCTCTGGGGACACAGGGGGGGTCCCTTTGATCTCAGGGCCTTGCTCCTGACCCTCTCCAGGGCGGAAGAGCTGCAAATCCCAAGGCAGAAGGAGGGTGATCTGTCAGCCAAAGGCAGACAAACGGCTTCAGAAAAGATTTCTGCAACCTAACTGAGAAGGATTTCCAATCTCCCGGGGAGAAGAGCAGGAACTCACAGCCAACAATACCTGACAGTGCCCTGCAGCCACAGCTCAGCTCACGGACAGACTGGCAATTCCACCATCTAAAAGGAAACAAGACCAAGGAAATGGTGATTTCTTTGGCTTTCAAGTTATTTTCAGTTCTTAAAACAGAAGCAACACTTGCTTTGGAATTGTGTTGGGTGAACAATTGGCAGTGGGCACACGCCAGGGCAATAGTGCTGATTTCACTGATGCTCTCTGGGGCAGGAGCAGCTGAGCTCCTGAGTTCAGTTCCTGCCCAAGGTCTGACCCCAAAATGATCCCCTCCTCTCCACTGCTGATCACCTCCACATTTGCATTCACTGACCTGCAGAGAATCCAACTCCTTTTTAAGCCCCAAAACCCGCCTGGGCAGCCACAACTGATCACCTCTTTTAATTTTTAAGACAAGATCTTCATTCTCTCTCCCAGAGATCCCCTCAGATGTAACCCCTAAACTTTTCTCTTCCTGCACACCTCTGATTAACTCATTTTTACCTCCAAAGGTTCATTTTCTATCCTTGAGAGTTTCTCAAGTTTTACCCCCAAAGCTTTCCTTACCTGCCCAGGGCTGATGGCCTCACATTACCTCTCTCGGGTCGTTCCCTCCCCTACAAATAACATTCAGTTTTACCCCCACACTTTTCCTTCCTCTACATTTCCCATTTTAGCTTTGTTAACCCATAACTGGGGACACAGGGGGGTCCCTTTGATCTCAGGGCCTTGCTCCTGACCCTCTCCAGGGCGGAAGAGCTGCAAATCCCAAGGCAGAAAGAGGAGATCTATCGGCAAAAGGCTTCAGAAAACATTTCTGCAACCTAACTGAGAAGGATTTCCAATCTCCCGGGGAGAAGAGCAGGAACTCACAGCCAACAATACTGACAGTGCCCTGCAGCCACAGCTCAGCTCACGGACAGACTGGCAATTCCACCATCTAAAAGGAAACAAGACCAAGGAAATGGTGATTTCTTTGGCTTTCAAGTTATTTTCAGTTCTTAAAACAGAAGCAACACTTGCTTTGGAATTGTGTTGGGTGAACAATTGGCAGTGGGCACACGCCAGGGCAATAGTGCTGATTTCACTG